ACCGTAAAATAATTACACATAGAATGTTCAAATTAATAGAATGTGAAAATTTTTTGTAACATTACTCATCATGCTTGAGATTCTTAATTATTTTGATAGATCAACAAAATTATTTTCGAATCTGTATCTAACTATATCTAAATTTATAGATATTTCAGCAAAATTATTTTTCATTTAAACCGATATAGATCTGAAAATAATTAAATTGAACCTCAAGAACAATTGAACATCAAGATAATTATGAAGATAAAAAAATTAAGATAATTAACAAAGATTTTAATATCCTATTAGCTTAAGCGTCTAATATAATCATTTAGATAATTCATAACGTAATTATTTCCAGATCAGTAGACGGAAAAACCGATTTTGTAAAAAAAAATTCAAAAATTTAGATAGATACAAATCTGAAAATAATTATGTTGGACCATCAAGATAACTACATAGAAGGCTCAAAAATTATGATAAAGTAACAAAAGATTTTGACATTCTACCAGCTTGTATTCAATATAATTATTTAGATAATTCAGACAATTATTTTCAGTTCTGTATCTAGGTAAATTTTTAGTTATTTCAACAAAATCATTATGTATCCGCAAGACCTAATATTTACATACTTCAGCAAAACTTATTTCATATGTATTTTCCGGACAACAGTTTCTCCTCGTTCCTCAGTCACTTTTCCGTCGCGTCGCGCTGTTCCAAGCCAAAAATAACTGAACGATCGAAAATAACTCTCCCCCGCGATTACACGATATTCACCGGACAGACGAGGCGCGGAAAATCTGCCTTACTGTAACGTTCAACGTAAACGCAGTTCTCGGAAATGGCTGCATCCGATGATGCGCCATCAAAAGTAGGTTTCCGTGGGATCTCGAGCGTGAACCAGCTGTAGTAGGTGCCCGAGGTGAATTGATTAAAATCGAACGCGCGGCGGCGCGGTGCGGCGCAGCGCACGCTAACAAAGGAGAATTGCGGGCACGGAAAGGGTGAAGAGAATGTGGGTGGACGTGTAGATGGAGCGTAGAATGGGGAATGGGCAAACAGAGCGCAATTAACGTGCAACCATTAAATATGTACGCGCGCGTTGCTACAGCGCGCGCGACGCATGTGCGCAGGTCGGGCTTGCAAATACATTGCTGCATCGGGGTATATCGGACACCCTCTTCCGTCCCTTCCATCCTATGTTGCAAGCGTGCGAGCGAGCGAGCAAGCAAGCGAGCGAAGCGGGTCGCGGCGTCTCTTCCCGTGGCCTGTTGGCACAGCCGCTTGATTAGCTCCGCCATATTTACATGTCATTAGCCGATTGTTTGTCCAAGTCGGTAACTCCATCGCTCCTCCCCCTCGCGTCGCCGCAGTTCATTCATTTTTTTCAGCGGGAACTCATCTACGATTCAATGGAAACACCGTACCGAGCACGCTTCGAAAATCCGCTACTGCGAAAAGCGAAATGAGCGTGATGCAAAATCTCGGTTTGTGCGCGAAACGATTCGTTAAAGATTAAGTATGGTAACATTACATAATACAGCCTTTGTCAAAATTATTGGATTATTTTATTCATTTATCATTCATTTATTACTTATATCTTTTTCATGTATCTCTGGAATTCTCTCTCTTTTATCTGCATTATTTATTAATTACCGGTATTATAAGTTTAAAGGGTTCTTGAAATAAAGGATAATTTACAGCAAATGCCTTAAATCAATTTTTGAACTAAAACTTTAAATAATGATTAACAAAATCTTAAAATATTTTTGGCCAAGATTGTATTATAACTTCCCACTTAATAACATAAATGTAAATATATAATATATTGATAAAATGGGCTAACTTTTTGGACCAAATTTTAAACATCTCTTTAAGATGACTCTTTGAAGACGTCTGTCCCAATTTTAACATGTGTGCTGTCAGGAAATTATCGAAATTGAATTAGTTATCTCATTTTACAGTAACATATATTATACAATTATATTTCGAGTTGCCGAAATTTAATTTAATTTAAGCCGGTTATTTTAAAATTACATTTACATGGAATATTTACATATTGTTTAAATTTACATAAATTTTTTTCACAAAGACAATACAAACAAATGTAAAATATATAAATTATTATGAACTGGATAATACAAAATAATAGAAATAATCAAGTTTTATAATTGTTAATACATCTAATTTTACTGATAAATAAAAATAAATCGAAATAGAAACTTCAATTTGATGCAATGATAAAGAACATAGATACTTTGATGATTCATAGATTGTTTTTACATAGATGACAGGGAAAACAGTAGTTTATGTAGTTTACATTGTATACACGTAGATGTAAATTATATTTTACGTGTGAAACGACAACCCTTGTTAAATTGAGCATTGGATGATTTTTATTTAGTAACACAAGTCGACACAAACATCGTTTTGTTTATTATTCATGAAATGCAAAAAAAGATAGAAAGACGTTTGCATCGACTTGCCATTGACTACATTCAGACAAAACTAAAAAGTAGCTTAGTAATTCTTTAATATGATTGGTTCTTGCCTTTAATTCTTTATTAGATTTAAGTGTAGGAACCAATCATATTAATGAATCAGTAAGCGCTAACTGATCCAGTTTTCTTTGCTGAATGCAGCCATTAGATGGAAAGCACTTATTGAATAGAAAATTTACGTAATGTTACTATTATGTTGTGTTTATTAACGGAAAAGTTCTTCGCATTTGATGAAACCAATTCGGGGTAGGTCGAGGATCACGGCAAACTGAAACATATCCATATCATTACTTAAGTTGTCTTTTATTTCATAAAAAATACGAATCTCTCGATCTTAATATTTCATTGCCTATGCTGCATATAACATTTCTCTTTCTTCTCCTTTCTTCAAATTTCTCTTATACATTAAGTGTATTAAAAAAATGACGGGCAAGCCGGCGAGTTAACGCCTGACGAATACTAACGTTAACCAAAATAAATAAATGAATAAATCGATTCGCGTAACTCAATCTCGAAAAAAAAAAATAATACTAACATCATTGATGTTTCTTGCAAAAGTAATTATATTTTTCGAATAATTCATCTCGGTCCTCCTTGCATACAAAATGCTGCCCAGACAGCACACATATCTAAAAAAACATCTTTTAGGCCGGTATTCTTATTTTAAGATCTTAAGTCTCAAGATGCTAATGCAACCCTATGACATTTTAAAATTGTACTTAAGATGATCTTAATGATCTCTGTACTTAAATATAAGAATCGATGAATACTGGCCTTAAATGTTTTCATATATTTAAAAGATATTTCACATCTATAAAAGATGTTTTCATAACTTATGCTGTCTGGGTGCAAGAGATCACAGCTCTGCTCTTTATCCAGACGGAAAACAATTATAAACAAATTAAAATCAACATAATGTCAAATATCGTCAAAGTTCGCATCGACGAAACATCATTTAATTATTGAATACACTCATCATACATACATACACATACACACTTATACACATATACACACAATTCTTTTTTCTCTTCAAACTACCTTCGGCAAGGATATAACTTTCGTGAGAAATATGACGATCGGTTTTATCGCTCGCCATTTTATGGAACTTATAGACGATGGCTCTTAATATCTAAACGCTTTCGATTATGGTAACGAGAATTTGATTAATCGTATTACTACAATGAGATTGCTCTCATTCTCCGATCGCCGGCCGTCAATTGCGGACGCATACGCGATCCGTATTTTTTCACCGGAGTGCATAATCAGCGATAGCCGTTTTTTATAAAGTACCACTTTACATTACTATTAAGGCAGTATGGTAATGTGACTTGATTTACGTAATAGTTAGGCTTCCTTTCGTGCCCTTCTCTCTCGAGATGTAATCGCGCGACGTCTCGCGGATATGTGCTTTACCCAGCCGGGGATATAAGATTCCTTCAGAGATTGTGATACACAAATGAATGAGGGATTCTCTCAAAAGCGAGGGAATGCAGAAATGAGACTGTTTCCGAGAATCGACTTGGAAAATTCACTTGATCCGGTCTAGATCCCGTCATGTATTCTATGAATCAATTGATTTCTATTCATATCTATAAAGAAGTATTATTTTCTACTGTTCATCTTGCTTGCAAGGATCAACTTAGGCAAGATAAAACTGTCGAACCGAGAGAAATCGTCTTAACGTCATCCAATGTATACAAACATATGATACAAATGAAACTAATGATTTCCTTTTCTAGTTACTCCACAATTTCGGACGCATTCTTCTATGGATACATATTTTGTAAATAAATTCTGTTACGAAAGGAATACTTCACAAAAACATTTTCCTTTTTACGTTTTAACATTCAATATGAGAAAAAAATCAGCTTTATGAAAAGAACTATATCTGTACTCCGATTCTGTAATTCTTAACAACAATGTCACGTTGTATTGTTACAGAAACGGGGTAGAGATTATTATTTATTTTAATATTTCGATCAAACGAAATCATCGAGCAAGTTCCAAAACTATCGAAAAGGAAAATTGATTAATACAATTATAGCAATGACATCTTCACCCTACGCATCGTAGGCCGCGATATATAGGGAAGTATGCGATTGCTAACGCTTCGCATAAAAATTTCTAGGATATCGCTGAACTATCATTAAAATATCTCTAGGGTAAAATGCGATCGTATACTGATATAATTGCTATGACCTACGCGCCGCTTTCTTCTGCAAAAAAAAAACTGCGAACGCGCCGTCGAGAGATCGCAAGTTTCCAAGCGCAATTAGGAGTAACGATGAGCACGATTGACAATGTTAAGGCTCGTGTTTTTTTCTTGCAGTATTAATTTATCTTTATTCTTTCTCGTACTGCCAACATTCAATAGCATAAATTAATAATTTTATATGTATATATTTTATATATTTTTTTTAATCGAAGGATTAATAAAGCATAATCACAATTGTCGAAAAAATTAATTTTCGCTGAAGGTGTAAAACAAAAAGTTCTCAGATTATATGTGTGCCAATTTATATTATTGAAATGAATAACGATTGATGAAGGAATTAATTTACTTCATATATATATAGTGCAAGAAAAAATTTTGCATGGTTCTCGCTATTGAATCGTACTCAAAATTCAACATAGAATCAGGAGCCCTAACGTCAATATAATTATCCTAACTATGTCTAATCAGTGGCGGCATCAGTCTCACTCTCCGTCGCCGACTCATCGCCGACTTGCTCCTCGTCTTTTCCCCCCGGAGAAACGAAGCCCATCTTAGCCAGAATATTAAAATCGTTTGAGAGATCATTCACGTTCATCGCTTGCTCTGGGGTGTCGCTATGACCACTGCTGCTGCTATTGCTGTTGCTGCTGCTGCTGCTGCTGTTACTGCTGCTGCTGCTGCTGCTACTGCTGCTATTACTTCTGCTTCTCAACTGCCTACCACTGGGTAAGTCTTGTCTCTCGGTGTCAGCCTTATCGTCAGGAACTGAGACCTCATTACAAAGCTCCGAAAGATTACTTTGTATGCGCAGTGCCGCTGCCGCCGCCGCTATTGTTGGTCGATCGTCTTCGCATTCCACCGAATGTCGTAGAGTTACTGACGATCGCGAGTTAATACGAACGAGTTCATAGCCGGTATAATCATTAGGTTGCGTCAAGGCTACGTCCGAAAGACGACGAACGGATACCTTATTCGCGACGATGTCATCACAGGCGTTTTTTGAGTCAGCGTCTAGCCAAGGAACGGGAATGATTAAACGGTCCTCGTCCAAAACGTCGCATGACGTCAATAGTGGAGTTTCAGCAATGGCACCATCGTTATCGTACTGTTCGTCGCACGGACTGTCCTCTCGGGCAATTTCGTCATTATCACTGATCTCATTCTTGTGTGCTAGCTTTGTTCTAAATGGCGCTGATATATGCGCTTCTTCCAATTTCACGTGCTCGAAGAATCGTGTGAGAGCGCGCCGCTGGAGCTGGACTGCTGCTGGCTTGCTGTCTGATTGCTCGTGTAGCTCCAGTTCATGTTCTTCACGGCAGAGTTGCTGTCGCAAGAGCGGACAGTCTCGATCGTTTGGGCTTCGTGACTCACGTGCACGACTGGTGACGGTATGGGACTTATTATGGCCTGAGAACAGTGAGTGGATGAAATTTCTTGATCGGTACTTCTCACGACTGAGATTCGCCGTTGTTGTAGCTTTCTCCGCAGATCCAGCTGATCTTGGCCGTTGTTGCTCGGTGACACTATTCTCGGGGTCGCCGTAAGAAGACAGTAGGATTTCTGTGGCTGATCTGGCTGACTGATTAACACAGAGTTTGCCGCGTGTAAGTTTGGCCCAGGGTTTCCTACCATTGAGGGTTGCTCGGTCCAGCTGATGGTCGTTTGAGATGGAGTGAAGAGAATTTGACAATTTTGATATGGTGACATGGAGTGGGACTGCACGATTGGTTTGTTTCTTATTGTTGTCACGATCGTAGAACAGGGAATGGGTGACGACGGGTTGGAGCACAGCGCTCTGAATGGTAGTGTTGCAACTGGTCGGCAATTGGTAGTTGAAAACTGCGGAGTGATTTTGGTCTTCGGTTTCACCGCCAGGAGACTGATTGGACCTTCCAGTCGACTCGGCGATTTTCTTAACGATGAGGTATGATTGATGCTTTTCTGGCTGGATGGTATTGGGCAATTGATAGGAGTGGGACACCTGGTCTTCTTGGACGTAGGCGATGCTTGGTCGTGAGTGATGACTGATGACGTGATGGTTACGATGTGCGGTGTCTTGTACTCGGTATTCAGCATCAAAGAATTTGCTGTCTTCTGATTGGTTAATGTTTGTGGCGGAGATATTGTTGGTGATTGGGATGAGGAAGGTTGATGCAGGCAGCTGGTTGACGCCGAAGACAGTGGGGAGGACGTGTTTGGTCTGAGTTGCATCAACTTTATAAAATCCACCAGACGCTTTATAGATTTCTGAGTCTTCTCTTGCTTGCCCAATAAATCCTGATGCATTCGCTGTTGTAGCTATTGCAAAGAAAACATAAATATTTTTAAAACTGAGAAAAAGCTTCAGATATAGCAATGAGCTTTTGCTATAAGAAAATGTATGCAAATATCTTCTTCGATTTTATCGTTAATATATATGTTATAATGATATAATTGTTATAATGATATATGTTATAATGATAAATTGTGACAAAAAGAAAGTTGTCTAACATGTAGCCTTCATTTGCATAAAAAGTAATGTAATTTCATAAAATCAATAATATTGTTACTAATCATTAAACATTTTTTTGCAAAATTTTGAATTTTAAAAACAATTAAAACAATATGTATAGAAATATCTTGAAAAATAAGACATCTTTAAAAAAATCTAAATGCAAAGTAAGTATAAAGTACAGCTTGTATGTTTGTGAAATATTTAGGACCTCTTTCATCAACTCTGATTAACACTAATCGATGATTAACCAGGGTTGGGAAAGTTATTGTTATGTAAAAATAACTAGTTACAATTATAGTTTTTTTTTTAAAGTAACCACTTACAGTTCCAAGTTATCGAGACTCAAAATTAATTTGCTACAATTATAGTTACTAAAAAAGTAACTTTTTAGTTTTTCTGTTATCATGATAGAATAATATGAATAACATCCATCATATTAGAACTATAAAAAAAAAATAATTTACGCTTACAATTTACTGACCAATCAAAAAATACTTCGAAGCATCAAGTGAACCTTAATCACTATTCAGATTTTAACCAATTATTACATTAAATTGATAAATAAGTTTAAAATGTAAAGTAACTGTAAAAGTAACTATTAGTAAATTAGTTATTAGTTATTGGAAGAACTGTAACTGAGTTAAGTTATAGTTACTAAAAAAGAAAGTAACTATAGCTATAACTTAGTTACAAATAACTAGTTGTTTCCAAACCCTGTGATTAATTCAATCATTTCCAACATGAAACTGAACACAGGTACGTATGGAATAATTTGAATTAGATTTTGATCGGAATTATTCCCTAGATTTCTATTGTGTTTTCTAGAAAAAACGAAATAATTCTGATCGGAATCCATTCCAACTTGTTCCATAGTAGATGTTTGTCTTAGAAAAAGAAGAGAGAGGAGAAATTCTGAATCATTAAACTATTATTAACACTTCTGTAAGTTAATTATCGATTAACTTAACCAAAAAGTTGATAAAAGAGATTATGTTTGTGTTTACCAATGTAGATTAACTTCAATCTTGGTTACTTTTTTATCGTTTTGTAGTTCTAAGAATTAGAAAAGAGTGAAGAATAAGTTAAATCAAGATTAGAATTAATCTACATTGATAGAAATGGGCATTACACATATATTTCACATTTTCGACATTATTTACTTGGAATTCAAAACTTAACTTGGAAAAAATTGTTTCAAACCGTTTTAAATAAAAAATTTTCTAAGCTGCCTATGAAAACAAATAATATAAAAATTGAAGATGAGTATTTGCATATGTTTCCATCTAGGGGCATGTTCGAATTTCCACTTGGGTGCTTCTTAGATGCCATATCATTCTTATTGTATACCGGATGTTAAATAAGGATGACATGACATTCGAGGAACGCCCAAGTAGGAATCAGAACATGCTTCAGAATGGCTTACTATTATAGTAACTTTTATCGTATATTCACTACACGAAAACTATAATTGACTTGCTAAAAATTTTCGCTGTAAAAAAAGAGCTAAATAATAGAAATATTTAATGTCATGCATTTCTTAAATCTATGTGCGTTTTTCCGTCTATATCGCATGTGCGCGAGCACATAATAAAACTAATAAATTATTAAGATGTATTACATAATTCTAACATAGAAATAGTTAATAATGTATTTCTAGTTTACATGCGATCTAGTTCGAAACAAACATGACATAGATTTTAAAAAACTACATGACAAAAATCATATGATAAAAAAACCACATGATAATCGTTAATTTGTAAAGATTAATTCATACGATGCAATAAAGTTTAAATGCACTTCTAAATTTTCCACAAAAAAGGTAATATTTTTTTTTATGTCAATATCAATCGCAAAAAAATTAATTCATATGCACATATATAATTGGCTCTTTTTTCTGTGAATTTTTTGGCAAGATAAATGTATGAACATCTAGAAAACAGCTATATTATCATTAAATAAAAAATAATACAAAAATATCACACATGCATATGAGATATCGCTCTTAGGATGCTATTTCATTTGTCGTACGATCAATTCAAAATGTTTATTGGCTACAGATTAGAGAATTTCTAGAGAGAGTCTCGAAAAATTCTTCTAGTACCCTAAAAGCATTTTAATAAAATTTTCGAAATTTAATATTTTATATACAATAATATACATGTAATTTTTATATGATCTTTAAAAATGATATTTCTGCATAATCGGTAAACAAATCTAAATATATTACATATAATATTCCTATCTATTATCAATAAAACAAAGTGGAAATTACATTTGAAACACAATCTGGCGTTCTATATTTTTACCAATGCAGTGAGCAAATCATCACATGTAGATCATTAAAGCGCAAAGAAATATATGAAAGAAATGATTGCTTAATATTTGTGAAAAGAATGACCAATAAAATAAAATATCCAAGTCGATTCTTAATCAAATTAGTGCATCGAAGAATATATTGTGAAACGGTAAAATATTAATTGTGTATATGTATGTGTACACACACGCGCGCGCGCGCGCACACACACACGCACGCACGCACCACACACACACATACACACACACGCACGCACGCACGCACGCACATACACACATACACACACTAATATTATTATTATTATTACTAATAAACATTCTTGAGATCATTTTTCATGTTTACAGACATATCTTGGACAACAGAATCGACTTGCCCTCATATGAATGGAAAAAAATATAATGAAAAAACGCAGAGATCTTGCAGGTTCTTTTGAATGAAAAAACAAAAGGACGAAAATCACAATTTACAATATTCGATCAACTCAAGAGCATTCCAAATAAAAATGAACTTTATAATTTGTCTCTATACAGGCCACAGGACGAACCTGGAGTGACTGGCCGAGTAGTTGTGAACGTTTTTCCAACTCGTAAACCTGCAATCTCAGATCCGAGTTTCGCTCGAGCAGGTCATATCTTTCTCTCTCTTTTTCCTCTGCAAGATATTTTGCGTTCAATATACAGGTTGTTTTTTTTTTTTGCCCTATCGTGGACGATCGACCAAAAAGTTCTTCTTAATTGCAAATTCTTCGGCCGTAATCGAGAAGCCGGTCTCACACGCGGACACTTCTTCCGGCAGGTTGCCTCTCTCGTTTATTCAGTGCGTGCGTGCTTACGCTCAATTAAGTCTGCGGCAACGCTGCGATACCTCGTTGTATGTAAAATCTAGAAGTTATGGACTCATGTTATACAAATTCCTGTATTTATTTAAAATAATGTGCTTTGCGCCGATTTACCGGTCCTTCATGATTTCGTCTCGATCAATATAACTTCTCGCCGTTACTCTACAATTTACTAATTGAAAAGGCAACAAAAAAAATTGCCAGTTTTTCTTTATAATCAGAAAATCAATAATTCCCGGCCGATTTACTGCCGCAAAATGAGATAAGCCTACCGCGAACTTTTCACAACTAAAGTTGTAGGAATAAGAACTTTTTTGTCAATCACACGCTTAGTGCTATTAAAAGAGGAGAATTTCTTTTTTCAAGAAATCGAGGACGATTTACCGAATTTTTCGTCCTTTTTGAAATGAAATTTGTTCTCGCCTTCCAATTGTTCCTCCTCTTCTTCATCTTTTTCGATGTCTTCTTCCTCCTTTATTGCTGAAACACATTTTGGACAGATCCTAGATGGAGGCGCTGGTCGAGTATGACACGAAACGTGATAATTACTTGAGCAATTCTTACACGACGTTAATGAACCTAAAAATCAGAATCGTGCATTAAATATTATATATATATATATATATATATATGTATTTGCAGAAGTTTTTAATAAAATTATAAGGGAATCAACAACATATTTCTAATATTTATCATATTTTATCATATTTTTTTACATTTGTCATATTTTTACTCACCTGGATTTTCACAACAGATGCATACGATAGAGTCACTCCCTATCCTTTCGATGGTCAAGCTAGACGGTAATCCAGGTATGTGAACAGCCTTGCTACCTACCGACTGAACAGATTTGGCACTAGATACAGACAATCGCGTTTGATTGTCTTCTACTTTGCTTTTATTCACGAAGACTTTGCTCTCCGCGTTTCTGAGGATATTTGGCCTGGTAGTAGATTTTTGGACTGGGACCAACGGCTTCGTTTGTTCCGATGGCGAGGTAGGTTTGGTTAGCTGAGTTTTGTTAAGTGGTGACGATGGACCGTTCATACGTGCAGTCGTCTGCCGAGTGTGAGGTGGATTTCCAGATAAATAAGAATACCTCCTTCGTTTCTAAAATACATACGTCAAAATTTAAATTAACTAAAACTTGACAGTGTCAAATTGTAGAAAATGAACCCATCCAAAGCGCCTTAAATTTACTTTTTAAATACATAGATAACTCAAAAACTATAGTTTAGTGTTTATAAATAAATGGATGGAGATGATGTGTGACTTCATAAAGGCGACTCCAAACGATACGTCCAATTCACGTCAATATTCGCGAATACACTAGAAACCAATGTTGGGAAACCAATATTGGAAAAAATGGATAGTGAGGAAAAGATAATTTTGACTGTCGCAGGAACTGCCACAGTTATTTCTTATGCACAATTTTTATATATTGATAAAAGAAAAAAGCGACACAAAATAAGATGAATGATATCTTTAAATTGAAGTTTTTTTAAAATTCTATATGCCATTAAAGATTATTTTTTTCTTTTCTAAAATTTCGATTAAATAATTTGCATTGAGCTCTGTTTAAATATTAATTCAAACATTATTAGGATTTTTGTATTTTTAATGTCTTATGAATCTCAAATTTCAGGAAATTTCTCATATAAATTTACAAGTTCAAGAATTAGATTATTGCTCCAATCGAGAATATCTTATGGCTTATGGCTAATATTCATAGTCTGTTCAAGATCCCGCGTCTTGAACCAATCAAAGAGTTATATTAGCGTCTTAAGATATTACTTAAGACGGTCTTAAAATAAAAACCTACTACTGAATACCGGTCATAGATTTCACATATCTTTTTAATAAAAAATAATATTTTTTTTTTACGTTATGTGTATAATATTATATTACAAAAAGTACATTATTATATTGAACTTAATCGAAGTTGGAATGTAAAAGATCAATATCTTTTTTTTTTAATATGACCTTCGTAACAAATGTTAACATTGATTTTAACCACATAACAGTCAATAGTACAATACTCAATATTAATGTACATTGGCTATGTCTTGTCCGTGAGTAGGAAGTAATATTACTTTCATCATAATGTCGTCTGAAGCCGCTTTAACAGCGTTAATTAATTGTCCAATTCTGGATTTGATCCCGAGTCTTGTCCCATGTGTATCTCAATTTTATAAGACATTAATTAGAAAGTTAATTTGAAAGATATAAGATTACATGGTTCCGAAATATGGATTTCGGAAAAATCCATATTTTACGTACAAAAAATGTATATATATAAATAAAAGCATTAACATATATTACTTACGGATGGTTGCTCGAGCATAGAATATACAAAATGCGGATTTGCCGTGCTACGACGTTTTCTTTCCACTCTCCTATTTTGCAGTTCGATGAATTTGGATTTGGTAATAAGCCCGAGGCAATTTAGATAGTAGCACTTTTCGGCCGAATGTGTGAATTCAATGTATTCATTTTGCACTTCTTTCATTTGCATCTCCTCCTTTTTTATCTCCTTTTGCATTTCTTCGTTTTGCACCTCCTCTTTTTGCATTTCCTCCTTCATTTGCACCTTCTCCTGTTGTATTTCCTTCTTTTGTACCTCCTTTATTTGTATCTCCTTTTCTTTTTGCATATTTTCTTGCGTGATATCAGAATTTTCGTCCAACGGCACCTCAATGATGTCGTCCTCGCCGGAAACGGTTTCCACCGAGCTGGGACGTAATCTGTAAAGAAACTTTTAATTTAAAAAATTCCAAAATCTTTGTTACACATATTTCAACGATGAATTTTCATATAAAATAATTTTGTATGATTCTAAACAAATTTCAATCTATCATAATTAATTCTATATTATTCGCATGGACTATTTTTCATACTTCAATACTATATCTCGATTTTTATTCTCTATGATAATTTTTTTGGTAACAATTTTCTCAGAATTTTTATACAAATTGAAACACTTAAGAAATATTGAGAAAATCTACATCTTAAAATGTTTCATGTGCGTGAGAATTCTAAAATATTCGAAGATTTCTATAATTTCTGGAAAAAAAAAATTTTTTTTAGATTTTATAAGATTTTGTCAGAAATTATAGAATTAGAAATCTTAAAAGTTTTTTAAAATAGTTTTAAAACATAGAAAAGTTTTAAAACATAGAAAAATTACGGAAAAGATGTAAACTTTATTTAGAACTTCTAAAAAGCGTTCTAATTTCTATAAAAAAAACTTGAGAAATATTTTCTAAAGTTATTAAAAAATTCTGAAAGTTATATAAAAATTTTGAAAAATTATATGGAAAATGAAGAAAATTTTCATCAGAGTTCCAATTAATAAAGATTGATTCAATATTCTTTAGATAAAGATAAATAAAAACTTTTTTGTGAAACAATCTGTAAAACAATTTGCGCTAAATACAATAATGTATATAAATAGAATTCATGCATTTCAGGAATTTATAAGAGAGATCCTAGACATTCCTCGCAAAATAATGAATTGAAAGAATCAAAATAATGGATTGAATTGAAAGATTGAAAGGACTTCTTAATCAATTTACTGTTTCTTTAAGATACATAAGCTTACTTCGCACAATCGTTATCTCGTAGGTGCGAATGATGAACATCGCCATTTCTAACAACTTTTTCATAGTTCTCCTTCGTTCCGAAACCATTAGCGGTCGCTTCATGCTTTGTTTCATTATTGTTCGTAATGTGATTGTTGTTGTTCAATCCGAGGAGAAATGGTACAGAAACTTTCGATCCGTTCGCGTTGTCTGCCTTGAACGCGTCCACTTCTTTGCGCAGTCGCTGCACGATCTGTTTCTGTTATAACAAGCAGAGAGATATATATAGCGCATCATAGTGTTACTTAACATCGGTGATTTCTAAAAGAGATCCTTAAGCTCGATGTCCACGATGCTAGAAATCGGTCCGAGATCTCGAAAGAATTAACAAATCACATTTGAACAATTTAGTCATCACATGACCAATGTGATTAGTCAATTCTTTCTTCGTTCGAGGTTCGGACCGAATTTCTAGCATCATGGACAATAGGCTTGAAACAATTTATACAAGTGATGAACCAGGTATATTAACTTCAGCACGTTTTAGCAACGCATAACACATGTGCAAACATTCGAATAATTGTTATACCTTTAAAAATACAAACATACAACAAATAAGTGTAAATGTTATAAAAGGCGGAACAAAATAGAATGTTAACATAGTTGCGTGATTAAGATTGTGAAGCAAGGACGTATTTATTCTATATATATCTATATATTCAAAAGTTAACTTTCGCAAAGCTCAAGAAAGTTTCCAGCACTTTTAAAGTAAATGAGAAACGGATAACTGTTGGAAAAAATGACTTGGAAAATATATAAACGAGAAAAATGTTTTCGAAGCTGCAAGAGCGAGATGGGGAGTTGAGCAAGGGGACATAAACGGATGAAAAAGGATGTGGAGATTTTATAAAGAGCCGAAAACGTTTTCACAGGACATTTTATTGATTTTGAACCGCTCCGTCTCTCTGCTCCCGGGCATCTCTCCTGCGCTCGCATAGTCGCTCTTGCTTCTTCTTTCTGGATTGTCTCCCTCTCTCGTCCGCTCAACCCCTTGCCCCACGTTCGCATCACGCTTTCCTACTCTCGCAGCCTCTGCGTATCATCCTCGTGTCTATCCCCTGTCCATTACATCCCGATTATTTATCTCACTTGTTATCAATACCGTCGAAGGCAAAAGAACGTTGAATTTAGAAAAGAACGTAGCTATATGTACAAGAATGATAAATATCACTATCTCGCTCACTTAATCTTGGAATAATAAAGTTAACAAATTTTATTCACGCCCTCCTTTTTCATTAGGACTTTCGTAACTCGCCGTAACAAAGCTCATGTAATACATGATCGATATATTTAACCATTTTACAGTCAGTACCACGCAAGTGATACTGCGGCATGATAAAACTCGTACTTTGTAAAAGTTAAGCAAGGCATGCCAAAGTTTTTGTAGCAGCCCACACTGTGGATCAATAATAACCCTGATCGATACTAACAACTTGTACAAAAATATAATTTATTGGGTTTTTATAGTTTTAACATATCGATAGAAATAACACATCTGAAAAATAACAATTTTTCAATGAAGCATTTTTTTAATTCTGAATTAAAATAATGTTTTAATTGGAATAATAAATATTTATAATTTTTACATTCATGTTATATTTTCAATTAATCAATATATATTCAAGTACATTGTTTTTTACTTCAAAAATACTTTAAAAAAAAAAGTGATTTTCTAGTTATTAGTTATTATTATTAGTTATAAATAAGTTAAAAATTAAGTAAAAATTACTTTATCAATCATAGAGAATATACTAACTTAACTTTACAATCCATCAGTTAAATAACTCTTATAACGTTCTTAAAATTTTCGAAGACATGATATTTTTTACAAGAGTACATTTTGAATTGTGTTGTTTTTGTAAATATAAAATGATCTTCTACTGAAAACATTTAGAGTTAATTTTAGTGATTGAAAAGTTTGAAGAAAAAATTGTATTGTAAAATTTTATTTTAAATTTATTCATTCTAACTGATTGAGATAAATATTAATTGTGATACTTTGAATTATATCACTTTTGATGAATTATTTCGAATCTGTTTTTACACCATATCGAAATCAACACAGCTCAAAAAGGGAATTTTTTTAAAGATTTGCTCATATTTCTAAAAGTATGTTCTTTTATTGATATCAATTAATTAATAATTTTCTCTTAAGTTAAAAAGTTTTTCTTCTTTTTTAAAAAACTTAATTTTTTTTAGTTAAATTACTTTTGAAGTAAGAAACAGTGTACTCTTAGACTTTTTTGAGAACTGGAGCTTTCTAAAGTAACTTGTAGAAGATTGTACTTTCTAAAAATTTTCTAGGTCGTTGAATTCGATTCTGGTTTGAGAATCCTAAAATTCCAATAAAAAAATAATCTGGTTATTGTGAAACCCGATTTTAGGTATCTCTGTTTAAATATAACTCAAAAATATCGAATATCAAAGGATAGTAATCTCCATGAAAGAGGATCACAGAATTCATAATTAGAGAAATCATTTGAAAGCCAGTTTGGAAATTAATACTAACTGTTTATGTAACACAAATAAAGCAAAACAAGAAACTTGGTCTTGCATTTCGCAATTAAAAACTTCCTAAAACCGAGTGTTATGTCAAATCAAATCAATCAAATTATCTTTTTCAAATTCTGTCCCCCATATTAAATCCAATATTTTAAATTTCTTATTTTGATTTCATTCGAATAAAGCATTATCAAATTATTATAGACCAAATTTCATAAAAATTAAATGAATATAAAATAAAGGAGGATGACTCAAATGGGGCTGATCTGCAAAGGGTTAAAACTGTGTCATGAGTTTTAAAAATTCGAACTGTGCCACCCTAATGTAAATTTTTTACTTGTATACACAATTTTTCACTTTGTATACAAAAATATGTATACAAAGAAAAAGAATTATTAGTTTTTAAAGCACAATCATTTTTAGAAACTCATTTAACTTTGGACACATTTTCACGTTCAAAATCACACGATCGACCGACTGAGAGATTGATTACGAAATTGCAGGGTCTCATAATAGGAAAAAAGTCATAGTATAGATGCATCGTGAATCACTACGTGCATGCAACATGAAAGAAAATCAATTGTCCGCGCTTACCTGGCATCTTCCCAGAGAGACGATGTGCACCTGAATCTTTTTTATCTGCCCGAGAATGTCTGAATTCTGTAACAAGACACATTGTGATCATATATCGAATTCAAACACATTTATTCTGGAATCACGCAATTATCGGAATTTGAGCGATTTGCGTACATCGCGAAATCTTAGTGGAATATTGCGCGGAATAATTGTGTATATATTGATACGCTTATTAGGTATTATTGTTGTTATTGTAATGCAAAACAAAAGCAAATAGATGATTCAATCATAAAAAATTGACTTAAAATCGTCAATAAGAAATCATTCGATATAATGAAGTTACATGTCAAGGATTTTGTTTTTTAAGCAATTGCTAAAATTAAATTAAATTAATAATTGAGTTTTAAACATGTATAACAGAAAAGTTCCCCATAATATGCATAAACAACATCCCGCACTAATTGTCGCGAGATGAAATGTCTGGTCAAAGTTGTGCGCGGCGTAACTTATGAGATTCCAGAAGTATAGCACACAAACTCTCGCAAAATTTCATTGTATCGATTGTTCTCTGAATCTCAAATCCCATCATAATTAGAAATAAATCAAATCGCAAACCCGGAATGCTAAAATTACACTAGTTTACAGTAAAAAATTATATTTTGGATCGGACTAGGTTTCTTATAGATTTTTGAATGCTGAAAATGATGCCGCAAACTAAAAAATTCAAACACGTCAGATTTCCAAAATAATTGAAATTTAATGGTTTCTTCGATATTTATATTTGACACTTTTTTGTCCTGAAATTTTAGAAGTCATGAATTGTTTATTCTCTATTAAATGCATTTTTTAAATTTCAATATCTTATTTTTTAACCATGAAGGATTTAAATACAGGTTTTTATAAGAGGTTTTTCTAACATAGCAAATTTTCTGCTTGTGACGATGAAGTATATTGATATAATGTCTAGTTTGTGGCTTTCGATATAGATATACAACTTTTGTATATAACATTTTTTTTAAAAAAGCAATTTTTTTCAAAGTATTCGAGGTAAGCAATTAAAATAAGACAACTTGTACATATATATATATTTATATATAATTTAATGGAATAATAAACGATAAATTATTGTATTGATATTCACAAACTAGAAATTATATAAGTATATGACTTTAAAATTCAAATAAGCTGATAAAAGGCTATGATAAAAGGCTATTCAAGCCAAACCGGATGTCATTCGCTAATAAAACAATGTCAACGATACAAAATATTATCAAACGTTTCAGCCTTTATTATATGATTAATCCTCAGTGAAAAACATATAATACATACATTAATTTAAATCACAAATATCGAGTATCACTTTTTAGTTAGACAAATTGTAATTATCTTTTCCGTGTATACGCGTTCCTCATAATTACATCCAGATGACAAAGTTATATATAAAATTTTCCAATATACATATTCAAATATTTAATTGTGAATATGTATATTGGAGAATTTTATATAATAATTTTGACATTTGGATGTATTACAGCAAACTTGTATACGAAAAGATAATTATAATTTATAAGTAATAAGCGATGTAAAAAGCGATGCTCGATATTTGTGATTTAAATTAATGTGTATTATAGTTTTTCACTGAAGATAATTATAATTATTAAAAATCGAAAAGCTTGAAAATATTTTTATCTCAAAAAAACTCTTATATATATATTTAAATTTTTCAAAATAATCAATCTAAAAAATAAGGTATTGAAATAAAACATGCATTTTATAAGGGATAAACAATACATTCATGATTTTTAATCGGAATTTCAAGATATCATTGACATCTTTTATAAAGAAATACGGCAAAAAATTGTTTCCATATTAAATCTCAATTATTTCTGATGCGCTAGTGAAATATGACTTGCGGCATCATTTTCGACAAATGTATACACATTTGCCTGTATAATTTGCCAAAATAATTAAAGAAATTTTTTTTGTATAATATATACATATAATATAATATATAATATAAATAATTAAAGAAGTTTTTTTTTTAAAAACTAACGGCGTAACATGTTTATGTTCCATAAAATTAAATGTTTAACTTCAACATTAGAAGTTTTTTACTTATTAAAAAGACTAAGTAAATGAATTACTATAAAAATAAAAAAAGTGAAAAATTAAATACTTCATCAGTATAAAAGATATAATTATTAAAAAGTCAAAGAATTTCAGAATTCTATTTTTTTATACAAAAAATATATTAACCTAAAAAATAAAAATGGAATCAGACTGGTAACAAACTGATGTTATTTTGATAAGAATTATTTTAAAGACATCATTTTAACGTTAAAGTGACAATAGTTTGCTTTGGGACCATTACTAATACTTATAATATTAAAATGCAGAGCAAAAACGAAAAAATTTCATACTCTAAAAAGATAATGTAAAGCATTATTATATAATTAATGTAATTAGATAACAATGTATTGCCGTTTAATGATATCACATAGATAATGTAACGATACTTACATTTGGGTCATCCTTCAACTTTTCTACGCACATCTGTAATTTAACAAAAAATTGCATCAGTCACAGCTAAGAAAAATATCATACGTTGTAGTTCTATTATGTAAGACATAATGCAGAATCGAGAGGGAGATAAATAATTTAGCAGAAGTATACCAATGTATACGGCCAACTGGAACTGGTGCGCCATTACGTTATCTCTCTCTCTTTTCTACCTTATTAATACCCCTATTAATTAATAAAGATGCAAATTATCTCATATTTAACATCTTATTAACTCGTCGCGCTTCACATTTAACTTCTTCGTCGCGCCGTTTCGGGAAGCGATTTAAATCTAAGTACTAACCACACATATTAATTATTATAAAATATATACAGGATATCTCGCAACTTTTTGTCAAGCGCTTTTATGTATTGGGTTGTTGCCGATATTGAAGGAAAATTGAAACGCAGAAAATTTAAATTTTAGTATACATTTATTAAATTATGTAGATTAGTCGACACGAATTTTCGGGACAATCCAATAAATAGAGCGGACTAAACTCGGTTGAAAAGTCCTTTTTACCATTTTGCAATTTTCACAATAGTTAACAAGATATTAATTATTAAAAATCGCTAAATATTTGGTTTTTAATAATTTTTTACTCAAATACTCAACTTTATAGAAAAACAGCAAGAGACAAAAATTGCTTATTTTCTTCTCATAAAGTTCTGAGAATTTTTTCTGAATTTTTTAATACCATATTTTCTCATGATGGTAAAAATAGTTGCAAATATAAGAAAATGCAGTACTTGATTAAAAAATCCTGAAAAAATTCTTAGACTTTATGAGAAGAAAACAAACAATTTTTGTGTCTTGTTGTTTTTCTGTAAGTTAAAGTTAATAGTATTTAAGTAAAAAATTATTGAAGACCAATAATTAAATAATATATAACAGAACATATTTCTGATAGATCGAAATTTGTTATTTCCCATTCCTATTGCCTGCATATGCCTTTCAATTGTATCTGAGACTGTATTGTTCTTAATTTATATGATTAATATATGATTTATATGATATAAAAACAAGATATAATAATTTACGTGTATACAATGTAAATCATGTAACAATATTTTACGTATTATCTATGTAAACAATCTATGAATTATCAAAGTTTATGTTCTTTATCATTGCACTAAAGCTTCAATCTCGCTTATATATATTTTTTTTTTATTTATCAACAAAAATCAGAGTCAGATATATTAACAATCATAAAATTTAATTACTTCTTTCTATATTATTATGTTACCAATTTATAATAATTTATATATTTTACGATGCTTCTATTGTCTGCATGAAAAATATTCGTATAAACTTAACGTAAATAATACGTAAAAATTTTATGTATAAAATTTTTTAAAAACGTAATCTTGAAATATACAACACAACTCATAAGCTTTATATACATATTATTCCCAATTATATCGATATTAAATAAAGAGCTAGTGATTATTATTCATTCACGAAAAAAATAGTTGTAAATTCATATAAATGATCTTGTTTTAATCTTAATAGTTCCAAATTGTAACAGCAATTTCATCGAGAATAAAAAAAATTTTGCTTACATTGAGAAAAATGATTGAAAATGGACGAACCAGAAAATTCTGATTCATCATTTCCAATCAGAATTTCAATTAATTCAACCTGACATTTTTCTCAGTGTATCAGTGTGACTTTTATCTTTCTTCTTCTGGCGCGCAGAAAGACAATTCTTTTTATTTCTCGACACGACTCGATTATCGACTAGTAGTTTGTCAGTTCCGCGAGACACACAAACTCGGCAAAATTCGTCTCGCTCCGACGCGAACAAAAGTCACAGAGAACTGAGAGAACGACCTTGTCAACGTTCGAGGTAAAAGTAAATCAAATATGGACTCGACGACTTCGGGAAGCAAGTATCGACTTGCACCTGTCGTCCCCACCACGATATATGCGAACTTTGGTTACATAAATCGTGTTTGGTGAAATAGCAACTATTGTCTCCTATCGATGCGTCCCATGTATAACCATTTTTTATCCTCTTTACAGGATCTTACATACATAAAAAAAAAGAATCATTCTATTGCCAAAAAAAAACTAAAAAGTTACTTTCCTAAAAAGTTAGTTTCCTTTTTTTCTTTTAAGTAACAGTTATCGTTAACAAGGAATATTTTCTTAATATTAGGGAAAAATTCGTAGCATTTTTTTAATGTCATCTAACGGGAAAAACGCCATGAACTTTTTCTCACACCTAATAGTTTTCAAACGTATTTATTATAAATTGTAGAAAAATATTATCATGTACTCGAAACAAAAAAATTTTTTTTTTTCAAAGAATATTATAAAATTTTATCGAAGAAGCGACTTATGTCCGTTTCTATGAATGTAGTTTAATTTTAATCTCGGTTTATCTCGGATTCAACTAACTATTCATTTTTTTTTAATTTTAAGAATGATGAAAGATAAATTAAACCGTGATTAAGTTTAATCTACATTGGTAGAAATAGATATATAATAAGCAAATCAGATTTGTTTTAATTCAATAATCTTGATTAAATTTGCTAAGATTCAAAATAATTTTGAATAAATTTGGATATTTGCAATGAACTTATAATAGATTGATGAAGATATATAAACTTTTGAAATACTTGGAATGAGTAAATATTTAAATACTTTTTTTTACAGTACTTTTTCTGTGTGCAGAATGTTCGAAGAAGAACATGAAAAAGTTCGAAGAAGGAAGTATAATCATTTAATTTTTTAAACAATCATCTAAAGTGATCTTTCCCAATTAAGAATTACGTATTATTACAAAATTTCTTATTGCATAAAAATTGCATATTATATTGGTTATTCTACAATTTATTAGTATTTAAGAACATTGTGTGTAAATTTACTCAACATTTTCTATAAAAATAAGGGGACAAATAAACAACAGTATATAAATTTTCGATCAGTAGGGAAAATTACTGTGACTAATCTTTGTTTTCTCGCTGTTGAGGTGTAAAATCACTCTCGGTAACTATTCCCGGGTTAAGCTGAGGAAAACTGACGCGAAAGTTTGTCGAACGTGCGACTGCGTCGCGCACTGCTGCGCCGAGAGGGATCTCCCTCTCGGCGGAAAAACGACGAGAGGAGCGTGGCTGGATAATTCACAACTTATCGATTGTCCGACATGAAGCGTCTTCTTGCGAATCGAACAGACTGCACTCAATTTTGACTTTCGATGAGTGCGACATTAAATTATTATCAGGAAATTGTCGTCAATCCTTGCCAAACCGAAAGGTAAGGCTTTATAGTACGAGATCTCACCGCGAATTTGTGCACCTATGCATATGTAGATATAATAGAATATAAAAAAAAATCGAAAGTTCGTGTTGAGGGCAACACTAAATCGCAAGAGTGCCTAAAAAATTATGACTTACAAGAGAAGGAACGAGCACGCGACTCTGAGCGATGAACAAGGATGCAGCACAATTGAACGTGTGCGCGCGAGTTTGTATTGTGACCATCAGTTGTGCTGCGTCCTTGTTCACTACTCGGAGTAATTGCGCTCGCTCCTTCTCTCGTAGATCGTAAGTCGTAATTAATGATATATTCCTGATCACTTTTTTTGCGGCCACAATAGAAGGAATAAGGAATTAAAAATAAGGAATAAGGATTCCAACCTACCAGAAATCCGGTGTATCCGATATCTGATAGATTGAAATCATTATTCCTTATTCCTTATTCCTTTTATTGTGACTTTAGTACCTTTATGTTACGATAATATCACATTGATCGAGACTTGCGCTTATGATCATGAGCGATCGAGAGAGCGAGCAAGAATCACCTTCGCGCCAGGCGATCCCTGGCGAATGCGCTCGCGGCGCGGCGATACAAAGGAATCCGAAGGTATCGATATATTTATAAAAATGGTAGGGAGCACCTAGAGATGTTCAAGGAGGGCCATCTCGTCGACTCTCGTCTTCCGTATACCATAAGAACAGAACACAAAAGTCATAATAATATCATAAAAATGTTATCACGATCTTATTTATTATAAGAGGCCTCATAAGAGGCCTTTCTTTGCAGAGAGCAAACCTATAAGTTTATCTTTCCTCCTTTTCTCCCCACGTTAGAGAAAAAAAAAGGGACAAGAGATAAACCGTGTAGAAGAAGTTTAACTAAAAAGAACAAGACTAAGACCTGGTTCCATCAATGTAAGATTAACTTTACTCTTGGTTCAATTTACTTTTTATCTTTTTCTAATTCTAAGAAAAAGATAAATTCTTAAGAAAAAATAAACAGTTGATACTTTCCAACAAAGACAGTGCAATACAGCGATTTCTTTGTTTAACATTGGCAAACAACAAAGATGTAATAGTTCACTATTCATCTATGTCATTTACTGGAGCACCCAGTAAAGTTAAATCTAGATTAAAATTAATCTTACTTTGATGGAACGAGGCTTAATGCTCATTTCTATCAATGCGGAATAATTTTAATCTCTGTTTAACTGATCTTTCATTCTTCTTTTTCTTAAAATTAGCAAAAGATGAAGAATTAGTTGAATTGAGATTAAAATTAAATTAACTATTATAGTAGAAATGAACCTAAAAAACGTAATAAAAACGTAATAAAGACATCATAACGATGTTTTTTATGACATACATGTTTAAAAGACATCAAAGACATAAAAGACATCATAAAAATCTTCTAGACATTGTCTGGAAGATTAATCCAGTAATGTTGTAGCAACACTGCAATATTCCACCAAAATTGCACACATTGCAACAATGTTGCTACAAATTTATATAGTGTAGGGGTTTTGCTCAACTTCTCACATAGTTCATCCTTTCTCTTTTTTCTCCAACATGGTGAACTATACAAGAAGTTCAGCTTTAAAGAGCAAACAAAAACAGACCTATGAAGTCATGATGATGTCCCCTGATAAAGTAAAGACCACAGCACAAACTTTTGCCTAACTCATAATGCATAGTGCATAAGTAGAATCAACCAATCAGAATCCTTCCTTTTCTTTCTTTTCATAGAAAAAAGAAACTTTGATTAGTTAATTCTCTATGTACTATGCGTTATGTATTGTGCAAAAGTGCTGCAGCCTTAAAACGAGATAATTTGGATAAGTTAACAGAAATTTTGAAATAATGTACAATATTTAATTAAACATATACAAAATTATCAGTGCAATAGTGTATGTTTTATACAATATTATACTTATTATAATTTTATATAATATTGTTTGATTAAATATACTACCTCAATTTTTTTAATCCATCCAAATTACTCCACTTTATTCCATTATTACTATTATTATGACTCAACTTGGAAAACTGATCAACAAGTTCTCTGTGGTGAGTTCGCGTTATAGTTTTAGATATCGCACCGATTAGATATCATTCTTGAAAACATAGGTAATTCGATCCCGCAACGAATTTCTCGGCCGCTTCCACGAGCGAATGAGGCACGTAAGATACGGAAAAGAGAGAGATAGAGAAAGAGAGAAAGAAATGGGTGGAAAGAGACGGAAAGAGGGCGCCTGGGGACGCCGAGCGGGAGAGAAGCTCAACACGCTCGGCCATAAATGGAACTTTCGACTTTCACAGTTCGCACTCGGTTTCCTCCTCGCCCTTCGCAAACTTCCGATCCTCAAAACCCTTCACGTGCGCGCGCGCGCGCGTGCGCAGTCAAGTTAGTAGCAAAAGACGCTTGGTGGATCTATCGAGTTCGAGTTGTCCCGAATCGATCGATCGATCCATCGAATCGACTTGGAGGAAACTTCATGACACAAGGAGAGGGGACGGGCGCTCGCGGCTTTCATGTATCCCTTAATTCCCTTATTATGCGCGGGGAGAAAAATAAAAATCTCCTCCCCAATCTTTAAGATATATATGTTGCGCGGAGGAGGAGGCCTCCTTCTTTCTCTCCTCTCAACCCCCGACGACCCGACCATTCTTCGATCACTATCTCGCACACACAGCATCACAATCTCTAGGTCTATTCGTTATTTCTTGCACTTTTTGCACTCAAAATCTTCGTTTTCTTTCTTTTCAATACTCAAATATATATATATTTATCTCGTTTTGAGTGCAAAAATTTTAAGAATAATTTCAAGCAATGCGAAAAGACCTTTTCTCTCTCTCTCTCTCTCTCTCGTTCTCGTTTTCTTTCTCTCACCTGATGCTCAAATATCGCTTTCTGCAATTCCTGTTGCACATCCAAGATCTCCTCTTGCAGGCTCTTGGATATTTCCATGTTTTCTGGCAGGTGGTTCAGCACGTCAAAATGTTCCGGCCTCGATAACAACCCTGGCGGTGACAACCCCGATCCGTGTGTATTGTCCCCGACGCGTTGGGGAGGAGGGAGTGTACGGGGACGCGGGGCGAGTTGCAAACTGGCAAACGCTCCTCTTGAGAGTCTCGAGAGTCGAAGCCGCGGGCTGCGCGAGTCACGATTTCGATGTCTCCGACAGTCCGACGAACGACGACGACGCGCGAACGAGCGGCAACGGTGGCGGGTCACCGCGACGCGTTCTCAACGTAACGCAACGCAACGTAACGTCACCGTCACCGTCACGTCTCGTCTCCGTCCGTCCGTCCGTCCGTCTGTCTGTCCGTCCGTCCGCTCCAAACTTCTCGGCCGTTTCTTCTCTCGCTCTTTCTGCCTACAAACTACCGATGCGATGTTGCGCTTCGTCCCGAAGTCTCGAACGCGCCACAAGAGCGTTGTGTCTCTTTCTCTTCCTACTCGTTTCTTCTCTCGCTCTCACTCTCCCCTTTACCACTTTCAGTCGCTGACTCCCTCTTTCTTTCAGCCAAATGCGAATTTACCGATCTCGCGCGGCGCGATGTAGCGCAGCGCACGCAAGCACGCACGCACGCACGCACTTTATTGTTAGTTACTTTACGTACGCACGATATATCGCGATGTATCTCGTCACATACTTTCCCTTTCGCACTTCCCTGATATCGCGGGCGATTTTACAAGGTCGACGTACCGAAAATTCAAGAGTCCAATCCCAAACTCGTCGTCGGCGACGGCGACGGCGACGCGAGCGTTTTACGCTGCCACCGGCGCGCTGCGCTGGCCCTCGCTCGAGTACGCGGAGTACGCACCGCACGGCCGCACCGAACCAAACCGAAGTTGATCGCACGCGCCCTCCTTGCCCTTTTCCCCCCTCTCTACCTCTTCCTCCTACATTCGGACTTCGGCGCCCTTCGCCGATGATGCCCGATGCACCGGGAGAGTCGACAAGCGTTCGCGCTAAACATACGAGATTCGACATTTCCTTTTATGCCTATAATTTTCATTAATGTAGATTAAATTTAATCTTGGTTCAATTTATTCTTTATTTTTCTCTAATTGTAGAACTAGAAAAAGATGAAAAATTAACTAAATCGATGTTTAATTTAATCTACATTAGTAGAAATGCTAGCATTAACTGAACTTCTTGGATTATTCATTTTTTATTCATTTTTTTCAAGGTGAAGAGAAAAAAAGAAAGATGATAAAAGTTGCAAAAAATTGGAAAAAGAACAAATCTTTAGCTCTAGAGACATCTTTTTCTTTTTCGTTTTCTAAATCTGCTTTTAATAGCTGTTTCACGTAGCACTTCCTATACTTGAAATGAAAAAGATATGTATAATTAGATGGCAAAAAGAAAAAAAAGAAACAAAAACTACGAAGAAAGTTCTAGTTGGTTCTAGTATGAGCGCAAGGAATAAAATAAAACCTTCCCTTTGCTCCGCAATTTCATTCGTCCCTTCCCTTTTAAACTATTTGCGACAAACAATTCTCTAGATCAGTTAACCCTAGATAACAATGTTGGCAGCGCTGGCAGCGCTCATCGCACTACTATTGGACGACACGAGTGTGTCAACACATGACGATTCATATATGAGGTTTGGGGATCGATTGTGTGCTTGAAATGAGATGAAAATGACAAAAGCAAGCAAATTTAATAAAATATTTATTTTCATTGGTCAATACTTCCTGAATTTGCTTATTTTTTTAATGTTCACTTTAAAATGCACAATCGACATCTTGTTCTTTATTTCAGCATTATAGACATTAGAGAGTTCTAGCGAAAACAAGAAAGTTTTTTCGTTTTCGCCAAATATTATAAAACATATATATCTATCTCACTTTAAATTCTAAAACGTATACTAATTCAGCCATAGAGAATCTATTCTTTATTCTAACAGACCTATCAATTTAAGAATTAGCCGAACCAATAATTAATAGGTCTGTTTCTGTTACTTGCACGTTTTGTACTCAGCATCACTTCACTTTCTCTTTCTGTAACGCCTTAATATATAATTCGTTTATTCGCGTTTCTTGAAATCTCAAAAAAACTTTTACTCTTAAGACAAGATAACACATATTCATACTAATTTGAACTAGAAAAGAGAGAATATGCAGATGCTGAGTGCAAAAAAATGCAAAGTACAGACTCATTTTATTGTTATCTATATGTTATCTCATTTTAAATGCAAAAAGTGCATTTTTTAAATACATTTTTTATTATATATACGAGTACATTGTTTTTGAATACAAAGATTTTTGAGGATTTCAAGCAATGCGAACAGACCTAATGATTTAATTTTTTAGATCTGTTCACACTATATTTTTATTGACAAATAGGCGCATTTACATATAATTATTTATTATATATACTATAGAATGTGAAAAATTAATGCATAATTTTATCGATAAAAATAAGGTGAAACCTTAATTTTTATAATTTTATTCATTTTTTTATACTTTAGCCGATTATTAATTAATGATTTTTTTGTATGAAGATTTTCGAAGTATAATTAAAAAGGTGTAGCAGATTAACAATCACTCAGATAATTTCAAGTTATAATAACTATATATTTATAATAACTATATATATTTACGTTATGCAATTAACTAATAAATAAATTGAAAATTATCTTTATCTAAGACTGATTGTATTTTGTATGAAGAATTATGAAATATTGAAAAGATAATTAACGTTTGGATTATAATTTAACTTAAATGTTATTATATATAATATTTATTATTATGTTAAAATTAGATATACGTTTAATTATAATAATTATTTATTTTATATTATATTTTTATTATATATATATATTTTTTTTTTATTTATATTATACTTATTCATTTTTTAAAATATATTTTTAATATATACATATTTATAAACTATGGCTGCTTTCTTTAATTTTAGGCGTCGAATAATAAATAAATAATACACAAAACAATACATAAGTATTGTTTTTTCTTTGTTATTTATGGAATGTCCAAAATATATTTATAAGAACGATATTTATGTTGATTTGTCTTAAAAAAAAAGCAGTTTAATTATACAATAATTATACAATAATTAGCCAACATATCAACTAAATTTATATAAACAATAGATGCTTTCCATTTGGTAACATAAAAAGTCGATTATACAAGTGTCTTTCCTTCTTACTCTCTGAATGTCCAAAAAAAAATTGTTCGACTTGTATCACTAATGCCCATTTTCAACGTAGATTAACTTTAATCTCAGTTCAACTTACTTTTCGTCTTTTTTTAATTCTAAAGACAAAGAAATTAAAGTTAATCTGCGTTGATAGAAATGGGCATAAGACTGCATTCCATTTAACGTTCACAACGCGTGGAATCATTTTATCTTTGTCGTTTACCAAATATTAAACAAACGATGCTCGCGAGCTTTGCGAGCGTTAAATAAAACGCAGCCTTAAATGAAAAGCGCTTTTTTTGCTTCCCCTCTTACTATTTATTTTATCTATGAGTGATTGGCGGATTGCAATGATATTGAGATCGCTTGTAATTTGAATAAAGTGCTTTTGTACGGAGATATAAATTCTAATTGAAAGACGAACTAGATTTTCCATAAATTTAGCATAACAAGTATAGACTGCATCCTTTTCTGCATTTAATTGAGTTGTCCTTTGTTGTCAATTAAATTTTTGGATGAGAAAAATGAAACGCGAGATAAATGTTTCGGGAATTGGAGCTAACTTCACGGAACGTCTCATCATCACTACGCGAGTCCATTACTGTGTCAGCTGATCGCCATTCGAACAGATTGAAGAAACCGGATCGGTTTTGCGACTGAAAGAATTAGGCAGAAAATACAGAGTAAAGAGTGCAAGATTCGAAGCGGCCGCCGGCGCTTTTAACATGGCTTTCAAACATCGCCGTTGGATTGTGCTGGGTCTTGAATATCTTGGCAAATTCCCCTCTAGTATGCGGTAGCATCTGCCGATTATTTGCTGTTGACAGCTCGAATTAATTCGGTATGCGAGGAAAGCTGTTTCTTTAAAGTTATTTCTTGGACTCGCTCTATCGTTCAAGTCGATTCATCGAAACTTGTTCACTGATATCGTCACCGATGACACGTCCACACGTGTACACAACATGTCTGCACGATGCGATTAGCGTTGGTTCCCCTCACTCTCTCGGAGGACTTAGATGATCGCTGTATCTTGACCCTTCTTGTGAGAATATAGAAATATTTTGGAATTATTCAATCAGAAAGAAATTTGACTTATGCAATCATGTTGAAGGCTGTTATTTTAATCGGAGGACCTTTAAAGGGTTTGTGTTGGCTTAATTATCACTTATTTATCTAGCAAGAACTGCAGAATTGACGTATCTAATTATATATATAATTATGTATTTTTACTACATTTATCTGAAGATCCTATTGACATCTTGTACATAATTTTGTCATTGCTGTTGGATTATGTCACATTCTAATTATTTCATCATTGTCAATATAGAGGCTTTATATATAAATTGTACATATATTTATTACATACATTTAGAATTATGTTTTTTATTAAGATTTTAAGGACTATTCTTTTTAGTTGAACTCTTCTTTTTAGTTGAACGTTGGAAAGAAAAAGAGAAAAGAACGATTTAAGAAGTTGAGCTAAAAACTTATAAATTCTTTATATGCAATATTTTATTTTTGTGCTTTATCCTTTCATTTATATCTTTGTAGGAACTAGATTTAGACCTCTATCCTTGGACATCCCAAAACCATTGTTTCCAGTGGCTGGATTACCTATGATACAACATCACATTGAAGCTTGTACCAAAGTGCCCGGTCTCAATGAAGTGCTAATAATCGGGGCGTATTCTAAGAACGATCTAGCTCAGTTTGTACAGGAGATGTCGAGTACTTATGGCATAGTTATTCGGTATTTACAGGAATTCACACCTCTTGGAACAGCAGGTGGCATGTATCATTTTCGCGATCAGATTCGTTCAGGCAGCCCCACATACTTTTTTGTTATGAATGGCGACGTCTGTGCCGACTTCCCTCTGCAAGAGATGGTGGAGTTCCACAACAGTAAACAGGCACTGCTTACAATCATGGCAACTGAGGCAACTCGGCAGCAATCATTAAACTATGGATGCATGGTTTTGGGAAAGGAGGGAGAGGTAGCACATTATGTAGAGAAACCTTCGACATTTGTATCGACTCTTATCAATTGCGGAATATATCTTGCATCTCCAGAAATTTTTCAAACGATGGCGGATGTCTTTCATGCTAATCAACAACAAGATCATTTAATGTAAGTTTCTCGTTTTGAATACAATAATGATAAATTTGATCAATCGCACTACAATGGATTCTGTACATTAAAAAGATTGCTTTAATAAAGTATTTAAATGCAGAAACATAATATTTAACTTTGATAATGAAATATTACATCTATGTTCTATAATTCTATAATAACATGACAATATAGTTATTGTATTTAATCGCTTAAAATAACAGCAAAATTGAATGAAACTTTGGTCGATTTTTTGTTTTCAATTTGTTGTCAGCAAACTTGATTTTATAATTTGTTGACATTATTAAATATAATAGAATTTCTATTAAATGTGATGCCTTTTTTCAACAAAATTTGTAGCAAATATTTGACAAACTTGACTGACTGGGTTTATTAATTTCATGTGTAACAGCTTTTAGTATATTGATCTAGTGTAATGCAAATGATCAAATTTGCTATAAGAGAATAGGTATCCTTTTTTTTAACATTTTCTTATGGGACTGCAGGCAGTTATGCTGCAATGGTAGAGATCCAGCGCATATTGCATTTGAGCAAGACATACTGACGCGTTTAGCGGGATCTGACCGGTTGTTCGCTCTGCCTGTGTTCAGATGGTGGTCGCAAGTGAAAACTGCGGGTTCTGCAATATACGCCAATCGACATTACTTGGCCCTCTACAAGCAGAAGCAGTCAGATCGCCTTGCTTCTACGAATAAGAATTATTGTCATATTATAGGAGATGTGTACATTCATCCATCGGCTTCTGTACATCCGACTTCTGTGGTACGAGAGATAATTGTTCTGCTATGGTTTGCAATACAGTAAATACTAACAATAAATACTAACAGCAATAACATCAACATTGTAGTTTCACACAATAATGTGCTCTTTGCTTTCTGTTTTGTACTTCTCCCCTTGTTTTTTCCTTATTTTATCGATTTTTGTTTTGCTTGTTGTGTGTTTTATATTTCTTCCAAAATTCGTCAACTTTTATTCTATCTCAGGCGACAAAAAATATATATATACGTAAAAAAGCGAGAGATAAAAAGTGGTAAAAATTAAGAAACAGGAAGCAAAAAGCGGATTATAAATTAGACTTAATTATTATATGCTACTATTATACATATATTATATAGGGTGAATCATTTTAATCTTAACAGGCAAATATTAACAGGAAAATATGCAATTTCTCAAAAATATTCCAAATAAAAATCATGTGATATATAAAGAGACAATGGTTCCTTTCTATACCATACAATTTTTATTTAAAATGTTTTTTTGTGCAAAATTGCATATTTTTGAAATTACATATTTACCTGTTAAGATTAAAAATAATCACTATATTTATATATATCACTTACATTTGAATGTGAAAATATAACATTAATATTATATATTATTATTAATATTAATATTAATATTAATATTATATTACTGTTGGCTGATCTACTGGGAAACTTCTACTGGCTTTCTACTGAGAAACTTATTCTGTTACCATGAAATTTCTTTGCAGCTAGGTCCAAATGTAAGTATAGGACCAAGTACGATGATAGAGCCTGGCGTGAGAATTAGAGAGGCAATCGTATTGGGGAAGGCACACATTCAAGCCCATTCCCTTATTCTACACAGCATCATAGGGACAGGCACCAGCGTAGGCGAATGGTCACGTGTTGAGGGGACTCCGTGCGATCCCAATCCTAATAAGCCATTTGCAAAAATGGAGAATTTACCGCTGTTTAACATTAATGGCAAACTGAATCCTTCCATCACGATTCTCGGTAAAGAAATAAAATATATCAGAACTGTTTCTATAAAAAAATAATAAGAAAAAAAATATCAAGATAAAAAAAGAATATCAAGAATTAACATGGTAATGTATAGATTATTTTTTAATGTATAATATATTTAATTGTTACATTTGTTGTATATATTAAAGATTTACGCACAAATTACTGTGATTCTTAATAGCCCATTATTTTATTTTTTTTTTATTTTCAAATACTGGAAGTTTTTAAGTTTAGAACAGGACTATTTAATTAAATATATCAACTACAGGTTAATTACGATCAAAATTAGATATTTGAATAATATTTTCGAAAGTCTTTATTTATGTATTTTGTTTCTACATATAATAAGCGACACATTGCAATTATATCTCATTTCAGGTACCAGGGTGAGCTTGGCTGCAGAAAAAATTCTACTGAACTCGATCGTCCTACCGCATAAAGAACTTACAAGAAACTACAAGAACGAAATTATTCTTTAATTATTTAACGCTGCCGTTACGGAATTAAAACACCGTTGATGATTTATATTTTAATGAAAGAGTCGCACAAATATGAATAACGTTAAGTATATTTATATATACTTTTCAGAAACTTTCTGTCGAATTGTGATTAAAAATCTTTAATAATTTTGTAATATAAGATTAATACAAGATTTTTATATACATTGTATACAAGTATCATGTGGCAACTATAAGCTATGTACATAGGGCCAGTGGCAACGCACAAAAATTTTTACAATATATATAGGCTTGTATATTTCGTCTACACATTAAAAATTATTACCGTATTTTCGTAAGTACATGAATAAATCTTTTATCTGTAAATTTTTATTCTTGTTAAAAATTACATATACACGTGCCGCGAGATGTCGTGCGGGATTGAATGCGACGGAACGAAGTCCCCTGAGCCTTGCATCAGCGCTCTTATGGTATCGAGGTGATCGGTACGCGGGAGGAAGAATAACCGGAAAAAAAATCTCTGACGAAGAAGCCGCAGTACAAGCCTAAGGTGAGGCTTGCTCTCGCGTTCCTCACCGGCGGCGCCAGGTGTTTACGGCGGCTGTAATAGTGTATGCGAGTGAGGAAAAGAGAAAGAGAGGAAGAGAAAAGAGCAGAGTCGAGAAGAGCGATGTGTACACGTGAGACAGCCGCATTGAATTGCACTGAATCAACAGGTAGATTGGTATGCGTGGGATGTCTTACGCGCGTTCTTCTTTCGCCTTGGCGCCGGGATTCGTCGTAGTCCCCTGCGAAAGATGCAGCGCGCAAACGAACGCGAGACATCACGATGGCAACGAATATTAGGAATTTTAGGGGACGACGATCGAGATCCGTAGCCGAATAGCAGTAACTAAAGGGAGGAGAGGAAGAGGAGGAGGAGGAGGGAGCGGCGCTCCAGGTGGAAACGCGCGTTCTCCAAACGTGTGCTCTGCGGTGAAATTCCACGCATACCAAAGTCGCTGATCCAGCTTCCCCGCGAGCGGCGGTGGCGGCGGCGACAGCGGCTGCGGTGGCGGCGGCGGCAGCGTCCTCCGGATCGGGAGAGTGATTTTTGTGATCGCCGCTCTCGTCAATGACACGCGCGGAATGCGCTGAGCGAGCGCGCGATCCCACGCTGCGCGTTATACGCGCCGACATTGTTGCGCGTCCACCTCGTTGCGTCTGGCCTTTTAAAAATCTGTTCGTGCGCGTCCCGACGTCGTGAGTGAGGTGTCGTAGGTGCGTTTTGAATGCGACGCAAGACAAATGCGAATTCTGCGACGTCGCGAGAGCGGACGTTCAGTTTGACCCCCCCGGCGTATAACGGATAAATGAATCCGCTTGTGACATCAAATGTCCTGACTTGTTTATAGGCGTCTTAACACGAAAGTCTTGTTGGTAATTTTTATTACGTTTCTGTCTTGTAAAACAATGTCTATACATATATGTGTATATTTTTCAGTTTTATATATATAATTATTATTTAAATTTATTAAGAATCAGAGAAGTGATTACTTAAAATTATTGATTATTGATCATTGATTACTTAAAAATATTATTGAAATATTAATTTTCAATTGTATAAGAAAAGTATTTTATAAAATTTAAATTGTGTAAATAGAACAATTATAAGAGAGGAATATTACATTTAGTTCATAAAATTTAAAATAAGAAATAATGCAAAAATAATAGACCAATATATAAACTTT